GATAACATTTTCTTTACAAACTCATTCAATTCTAAACTCATTAACGAGAGAATTGTCGAATGGTAATTGAATAACCAATCTCTGTGGACACGATAAACTCCCGGATAAATATTTCCAAAACTTTTGTTGCTTGTCGCTTTATCGCTCCAACAATAACCTTGAAGGTGTTGGAAATCAAGAAGCAAGGTGCAGGTGGAAAGAATAAATCTTCAGACGGAATGATCAAAGTAGAAGGAGAAAGCAACAATTCAAAATCACTTCCAGAAGAAATCTCAGAAAAAATCTCTCAGGTGACATTAATAAAAATTCCTAAGCTCAATCAAGAAGGAAAGAAGAGAAAAAAGAAGGAACACCGGCCTGAGAAGATGGAAGTGGCTAGAAGCACAAAATGGTCAATGTTTTTGATCTAGATGAGTTTTAGGTTACGGAAAGGACAATCAACAAGGTGTGAAAGAGGAGGTACCCCCATAAGGAGATGAACCGTCGAGTCATGCGACGTTAAACGAAGCGCTTCGTGGGAGGCAACCCACGCTTTTAATAACTTAGTTTTTGTTTAATTTTATCTGCATGTAATAAAAAGGGAGTCTTACTGATGAAAGTTAGGAGGAAGCAACATGTGTTACATTCCCCTTTGTGAGTCACTTTCCTCGAGCTTGTTATGAAACATTGGGGTCAATGTTTAGTTCAAATTTGAGGGATTTTATTGCTTTTTCTTTTTATTGCTTTTCTTCTTTTCGAATTATTTGTTAGTTCTATGTGAATTGCTGTGTAGATCCGCGAGTTGAAGTCCTCCAAATTTTGGCCGAAATTTTTTGTTTTGTTCAAGAAATTAATTCTCATAGAGTTCAGGAATAGTATATAGAGACAACGGGACAGTGATACGAGTCTAATATGTAGATTTGTACCACAGTGTTAAATTATGAGAAGTACTCCAGAATTAGTTTATCTTTACAGTCTCACATAATATAGATTCACATGCATGTATGATTGGTGGAGAAATAAATAAATTTGGCTCCAAATGATGAAAATGCGATAAAAGGCAACTGACTCGCTAAGTTGGGTAATCTTAACCCGTTTATTCAGCCCAAAGGGGGTTGATCCCCAAACGTCGTCTATAAAAGACAATATATAAACTGGAATTTTTTGAAAGTTTTATCTGAAATAAAAAGGAGCAAATGCTCTTATTTGGTGCCTGAACAAAAAATTTCTTGATTAGTCTTGTGCGTGTGATGATCATAAAAAATTCTCATTGCCTTAATTTGACTATCCGAATGAAAAAAGGAGAAAAATATAAAAAATACTCGAATACAAAGCATAGTTAGAGAGGTATCTGAAGAGGAAGCTTGAGATTTAAAGGTTCTTACACAAACTCTTCGCGTCATGTGAACATCAAACGAACTGTTTTTTGATCAATTTGAACGGATGTCTCATGTATGAGTACCAGACTACTGTGATTTTCATGAGTTCTTGTAATGGTCGCTTGAGGTCAAGCAACAGTTTAAGTTTGAGAGAGTTTGATCAATGGTATTTACATAATTATTTATCATTAATTGCAGTTATCGTTTCTTTTATTGTTGAGTGTTTTATTTCATTTTACCACATTTTATGATTTGGTTGTGTGTTTTAGTGTTTTCAGGGTCAAAGGAATAAACAGGACAATTCAGGGCGAAAAAGTGCAAAAACTCAAAATTTTGGAACAAGTCAAAAATCCACCTACAGGAGGCCTGACACGGGCCGTGTCAGGATGGGCGAATGAAGAAGGATGGAAGTCAGGGGTGCAACACGGGCGGCCATATTGCCTGACACAGACCGTGTTGCAACCCCTGGGACCTCAAAACAAGATTTCGGAGTTTGGTGGCCAACACGGGCGACCGTGTTGCCTGACACGGGCCGTGTTGGCCTGTGACGCTGATTTCCTAATTTTTTTCATTATTTTTCCATATGTTAAGCTGTGAGGGCGTTTTGAATACTTCCAACCGACATGGATGAATGGTGACTATTTAAATGAGTTTTCACGAGAAATAAGGGGACTTTTTGGCTGCGTAGAATAGTGGACAAGACTGAAGATTGGAGAAGTCAAGGTTTTCAGAGAGCGGGAGATTTTCATGCGCAGAAGCAATTGAAGATCAAAGTTCATCCCAATCCTTTTAATGTCTGTATTTTGTCTTGGGGTTATTTTGAACAATATGAGTAGCTAAACCCCCAATGTTAAAGGGATATCCTTGATTTGAATCTGTAATATTTATGAATTCCCGAGTTCTTTAATAAAGTTGTTTTCTTATTCAATTTAATCGTGCAATATTTTCATGCTTTCCTGATTAGATCAATTATGATTGATCATCGGTTAACAACCAGTTGGACCGCGGTTGATAAGATTTTTGTACGATTAGGCTATAACAGATATCAGTTAGGACTAAGGATACCTTATAGTTACCAGAACACTCTTGATAAAATAAGGGCTTGACTCCTTCAAATATCTCGAAGGACTTAGGATTTAGGATGATTAAAAGTTTTCCCACTAAGGACTTAAGGGAAGATAATCTAAAAGGAAAATTATACACCATACCCAAGCATGCTCCTCATATCTGTGAAAAAACCTAATTTACATTCTGCTTATTTTTCATTTCTGCTAAGTGACAATTCCTAAACCAAAATCCCAATTAAGTTTTTGTTTAACTGAACGTGAATTGAACTCGATAATTACATGCAGTCCTTGAGATCGACATTTGGGGAATCTCCCTGTTATTACAAGAGGCAAAATAGTACACTCGTTATTTTTTCGATCAACTGTGGTCTTAGAAAGTTGGGAAAAATTCACTTGAAATTAGGTTAAATTCCACTAAGTCCACAAAGTGACCTCTAATCTTTCCAAACTTTTGATGATCTTCTAAACATAATTAGCTCTTGACTTGTAAAGAGAAGTTTTAGATGATGTCAAGGAGAGTCATATTCCCAAAGGATTACACAAAAATGTTGAAAAAAGAGTGAGTTATGACATCTTGAACTTGGACTTGAAATGTTGACTTTTTATGTCAAACCTCTTTGAACCAACTTATGAACTTGAACTTTTCTTGCATTTCAAAACACATTGATGATCATATGAACTCAACATGTGCCCTTAAATGTCCTTTGATTAAACTTGGTCAAGGCTTGAGGTAACTCGTTGAAGAAGACATAGAAATAAACACATGAACCTTTGAAGTTTCATGAGAAACAAACTATCAATATTTGAGGTACTATTGATCAAGATAAGATTGAATTATGCTCGAGTCTTCATGCTTTGAGATTAGAGATCATGCTTTGAAGATAAAACCCTTGAGAATTAATGATTGGCCACACTTTGACTTTGAAGAAGCAAACCCTGATTGAGGGAATCATGTTTGATGTTCTTGATTCAAGACCTACCTTGCTCAATAAACAAGAGGAAACAAAACATATTTTTGGTATTTTGATTAGTGGTTAGTATAACATAAAGTATATAAACACAAAAGAGAAAGATACACAAGAGAGTGCTTGATGATCTCCACAAAGGCAAGATTCAAAGAGATGAAGGTTAAGAGATAACCAAGTTAGTTTTATTTCTTTTTACCTCTTCTATCATTCGAGGTGGCCTAAGTCAGGTCTTGTTAGTGTTGCATATTGGAGGGCCCTTTAATAGACCTATATAACTGAGGATCATGGGACAAGTGGCCCTATAATAGACCTATATAACTGAGGATCATGGAACACGTAAGTGTCATGTTTGCTTAATTTACAATAACTGAGCATAGGTGTGGAGACACCATTTGTAGTATGCATGTTGACTCTAGACAAAAGACCCTTCATATATTTGGACTGAGTTAATAAGAGTGAGTTAATAACAGGGAACAGACGATCCTCTTGATATTTGGACTGAGTTAATAACAGGGAACTGAGTCTGAAAGTAACTTATATGCTTAGAAAACAAAATCAAATTTCAGAACTTAAAAAATCCGTCAGAAAATAAAAGGTAGCATGGAATTTCAATTTCAACATCACTTAAAAGATGGAAATTAGAGCGGATACCGACAAACAAAGGGCAATCAACAATAAATAATTAAAATTGGATGATATAATCTAAAATTAATTATTCAACACTTTTACCACTTTTTTTTGCATAATATTGCCTAGGTTGTCATGTCTGACCTTGTAATGAAATTAGGCAAAATATTCTCTTTGATCTCGTATGTTAACGTCAAGGTTTATTTTGGTCCCTTAACTTTAAAAAAGTTCATATTGATCCCTTATCTCTTCAAAGGCTTCATTTTAGTCCCTTAACTTTAAAAAGGTTCATATTGATCCCTTATCTCTTCAAAGGCTTCGTTTTAGTCTTTTTTGTCTAATTAGCGACAAATTTAGCGACTGATTTATGAGTTTTCTCGTCGCTAATTAGATAAAAAGACTAAAATGAAACATTTTAAAGAGTTACGGGACCAATATGAACTTTTTTTTAAGTAATGAACCATAATGAACCTTGACGTTAACTTACAGGATCAAAAAGAGTATTTTGCCATAAAATTATATTAAAAAGATGAAGATATTGACCCAAAAACATCTTCCTGCAGCCCTGCTTGTTTGGTAAAGGTAAAATAGATAAATGCTAATTTACCAGACATAGTTCCTCTAAAATAAGCACAATTACTTTCAGAGAGTAACCTAAGATTAATACATCTCAATTATTAAAAAGAAAATCAATATTTGATATTTTAATCCATTCATAATTTGTTATGCATGTAGTGGTAACATCAACTATTGAATTGTTTGCAAACAATTGATCTTATCAATTATATAACTAAGATAAAACATGCCAATGAACTACCAAAATTACCCCTTTGTTTAAATAAATCCTAATTTACAAGTGATAATTCAATCGGAGGCAATCAAACTGAAACATGGTTTACCTGAAATTTGACAGTATATGTTGGTACAACTTACAAGGCCAGTTATCAAATTATGCTTCCTCAAAGCTAGCTCCAAAACCTTTACTGTCCCCATGAATAATCCCCACTTTTTCCACCGGATTTATGCTTAAGTCTTATATCTGTAATTGTTATACCTTTTGAAGCAGCTTTGCACATATCATACACTGTTAAGCCAGCAATAGACACCGCTGTCATTGCTTCCATCTCAACCCCAGTTTTTCCCGTTGAAGCAGTTTCCCCTTCTATTGTTACACTAAAGTCCTCATGATTCAATCTCAAATCAACTTGCACGTGCGAAAGACCTATGTTATGGCACAACGGAATCAAGTTACTAGTTTGTTTTGCAGCAGTTATGCCAGCAATTTTTGCCACTGTAAGCACGTCTCCTTTTGCCATCTGATTGGCTAATACCAAATCAAACACCTTCTTTCCAAGAAGTACTTTGCAAACAGCAGTGGCAGTTCTCTTACTACTTTCTTTCGGAGACACATCCACCATTTGAGCTTCTCCTGAATTTCCAGTATGAGTCAATTCAAAAGAACTTTCAGTTTCACCTATGCTTCGAGATGACAAATGAGGTTCATTACTTGCAGGACTATTGCTTACAGATGTAGGTAGTTCATCGGGCGGAAGTTCCCCAAATACAGATTCCATTTCCTGAAACAAAATAAGAAACTTAACATTGATTACAAAAACTCTACTAAAATTTGTTAGCAGAAATAAGTTAGTGAACTTCAAAATAGAAATCACAGAGAAATTTGGTTAGATATTACTCACTTCACCACTCCTTAACTATGAAGCACGGACACCACACGGACACTGACACCACACGGACATGACACATCGACAAAGGTAATAATTTGAAAAAAATAAAAAAAATAAAACGTAATCACAAGTATTGGTGTTGGTTTTGGACAGAGCCACTAACACACGGACACACTGCTTAGTGTACCTTATTGAGTTCTTGAATGGAACTTGCATAGTCATGGATAACAGAAGAGCTGAAGATCCTTTTCGATGGAGGAAATGCAGCACCAATTCTTCTAAGAAACATTCTGTTAACTGATCTATAAATGTAAGAAAAGGAAAATTAATCAAAATGCATTTGGTGAAATTCAGTGCAATTTTCACAATACATCATTGGAAACTGAATTGTAAACAAATTGTGAAATCAGAAAACAAAAATTAAACAAATTGAAAGAAAAAATTCAGCAAATAAACAATGTTGGCAGTGGAAACTATGGTTTTATATTACAAATCAGAAAGAATTGCATCATCGGAAGAACAAAAAGAAGAAGAAAACGTTACCTTGTAGTTGCAACGGTACTTCGCCGGTGTTGAACGGAGGTGGTTGTGTGTTGCCTCTTCTCTTCTCGTTGCGGCGAAATTTGAGAGTTAACTCAACTGGTTAGGCAAACACGATGCTACCCCTCTTATACATCTGGTTAGGCAAACACGATGCTACCCGCAAGACATGAAAAGACTAAATTATCTAAATTTAATTTATTTTTTTAAATTCCAAATTTCTAATACAACACTTATCTTTTAAATTTATTAAATTTATTGGATGATACTTAGAATTTTGAAAGTGATATCGAAAATTTCGTAAAACAGTAAAGGATTTTAATTTTTGATATTTTGTATTGAAAATTTTAAAATATCCATTATATTCTAATTTGAAATTGTGAAATTTTCAGATTTAGTATTTACATTTTGTATTGGAAATTTTGAAATTTCTGAAGCTTTGCGTCATGTATCAAAAATTTAAAATTTTTGATAATTCATTTTTTTTTTAAAAATACCAGAAATTTATAAATTCCCGGGAGTTTGTATTTTCCTAGTTTTTTTTCTCATTTTATTCATTGTTTCAACGAGTAGTAGGGGCAAAGATGGTTCTGTTGTGGGCAGGGTGGCCGATAGAGCGGAAGCTCAGGCCCGGACTGACGAAGCATAGGCTTCTGAGCTACAAACTGGACGACGTCCTCCGACGAAGTTCCGCGCGCCCCGTCGTCGAGGAGTTAGAGTTTCTACTACCGATGAGGTACATGCCCCTATGGAGTTTCCTTTATCTTCTGCTTGGTTTTCTCCAGCAGTAGTTTGTTTCATGTAGTATCATTCCCCATAAAATTTAGATTATTATATTCACATCAAATCATAAGAATCATTGCGGTATCTATGGGCCAAAAATTGTGTCTTACGGTCAGAGTTGGCCTTCCGAAGATGCATTGGCATAAAGAGGGGCAGTCCACCACTAGGAACTGGGTCTTGATGGACCTGGCTGTTTCGACTGTCCTAAAAGTGACGATCAACTTGACGAAAACCCATGGAGGTTGGAGCCCACATAGGGCGTCAAGTGTGTTTCGTTGAGCTGCAACATGGTGAGTAGTTGGGAACACATGATGTCCACCAAGCTTTCATGGTCGATAAGGATGCACCTGACATCAAAGTTGGTCATCTGTGCTCGTACAAGTAGAGGGATGCTCGAATCTGGAGCTCCACCAGGCAGCTTTTTGCAGTAGAAGGAAATTGGGATAGAGCTTCCCTGAAATTTATTGAGGGTGAAATTCTGGTTGGAGCTTGCCTCAATCAGTCGCTCGAACCTCCTCTTGATCGAGCCCATGGTAAATTTGTTGAAGCCTCCACCAAAGATGATCATGGCAGAAGGGAAACTCTCCCATGGACTATGTGTCATGAAGTATAGGGGGACCTCGGCCTCGTCGGGGATGTATAAGTCCTCGAGTCGTGAAATGTACATGGCGATGGGCATGTTGATATTATTTGGGGTAGGTTTGTCTTCGTTGACTCGGGTGCATCTTCAGATGGACCATCCTTCTTCTTGTATTGTTTGAGATGCCCATCTCTGATGAGGATCTCAATGACGTCTTTCAAGTGGATGTAGTCTCCCGTTGTGTGCTTGTGGCTCTTGTGAAATCTGTAATATTTGGATTTGTCTGTCCTGGGTTTGGACGGTGTCTGTCGAGGAAACCGAACTCCTATCTGGCGAAACTCTGAGTTGGCGCTGTCGGTCAGGATGCACTTGCAGGAGGTGGTAAGAGGTGTATATTCATGAAAACAACCAGGAGGTCTCTTGTAGTCCCGTGAGTATCGAGTTTTGTTATTCTTTCTCTTCTCCCCATCCCCTCTCGATGAGATATCGAGGGGTCATCATGCTTTGAACCCTTGGCATTCTCCTAGTGCCTCGAGTCCCTGGAGGATTTAGCAGCTTCTTTCTCCTCGTAATGGATGTATTCTTGTGCCTTGATGAAGAAGGCATCCAGGGAGGAGGGAGTTTCAATGCCGACCTCTTTGGCAAAGTTGTTGTGTGGGTGCAGTCCGCACTCAAGCATGTATTTCTTCATGTCATCAGTGGTGGAGACATGCATAACCTCGCTATTGAACCTTACAAATATACACCCGAAAAGACTCATCCTTGCCTTGGATAATCTCTTCGAGCGATGCTTCCGACTTTGGGTATCGATGAGAAGTCGTGAAATTCCTGGAGAATTGCTTTCTGAGGTTCCGCTAGGACGTGATGGATTCGATAGGCAGATTTTTGTACCACACCATAGCTCTTTTCCTAAGCGTGGTAGGAAACATTATGCACTTTATGGCGCCTTTAACACTTTGATAATCAAGTAGAGCATCGATGTTTTCGAGATGGTTGTCCGGTTCAGTGGTCCCATCGTAAGTCCCTAGGCATGGGGTTTCTCCAGCCCGACACTGGCAGGGGAGTGGTGTCTCCATGATTTCGCGTGATAACGGGACACAATCGCTCCAACTCTTGGACTGAGGAGGAGAGTAATTCTTTCCTCAGCATGAACTATCAGCTCGCCTGGAATATGAGCTCCTCTGGATAACCTTGGACCTTGGCGGAGGTGAATAATGATTGTCTGATCACGGCTCGGCCCGTGTCTACTTCGGGGATCGAAAGTCTCTTCAAGGAGGTGAGTGGTTGCATTTTCTATCAAGCGTAATCTCTGGTCACCCTCACGCTTGTTAACGACTGCATGGTTGCAGTGAAGGGTTGCGCGACATGCATCATTGATATCTCTGAGGAGGAGATCTCGAATGTTTCTTCTCCAAGGACTCGATCATGTTGTTCTGACGAAAGATTATGGCATTGATTTAATTTAGGGTAGCGAGCAAAGTTGTGATGGTTGGATCAGCATTGGCCGGCACTATAATTGGCTGGAGAGCCGTTAGTGCTTCTTTTTGGGGTTTCTTGGAATTGTCAGCTCCCAAGAAATGGACTTCGTCGTTGTCAGCCTCGATGGAAGAGGGAGACGTTGTGCATCCGTCTCGTTTTACAGGGATGTCTTCAAGAGGAGGGCATATGTCGTCATTGTCAACTTTACGAACGGGGAGAGAACGATTTTGCTAGTGAGATGGTCGTCCTCGTAATTGGCCATGATCAAAATCTAGTGATGTTGCTTTTATATTCAGTTCTTGGGAAAAGAAGATGGGGAAGGGAGTTTTCCATAGACGGCGCCACTAATCTTATCCGTTTATCAGAACCTGTAATAGAACGATAACTTTGTCTGCTAGGCTGGCATAATGAGGAGGAGGGGGTGTACCTGTAAGGCACTCTGACGATCAAGTAAGAAAGAGTGCAAAGAGATACAAGAAAGAGATTAGGGTTTTTGAGTGAATATTGGATACCTGACCCTAAAAAATGTAAGAGTTTTATAATGTCTCCGGCGGTTGGCCATTAGTCCATATTTTTGGGCCTAGATATCAAGTCCGCAAAAATAGGTAACTGCCAGAAACTAGTCGTTATGACGGGCAAACATGCTCGTAACTAGCCATTGTGCCGAGCAAGGGTGCGGCTGCAGGCAGTCATGGTCAAAGGTGTTCCTGATTGCCTGTTCCACGTGTGTCGAGCAGAACAAATGATAGTTGCTGGTGCGGGCAAACGCATGGTTTAGAGCGTCGTTGGTCCCGCTGTCTCTAGGGTACAGTCGATCAAGCGTCCCCGACTGAGGCGAAGAAGGCAAGGTGCCCCCTCCCTGTCCCAGTTGACTGGGCCAGAGCCGTTGGGCCAAACTAGATGTAGAAGGGGATTGGGCCAAATCTAGGCATTGGGCTAGTCCAGAACAGTCTTTAACTCAATGAGGTTGTATTTCACCCTTCAATTTGTATCAATCTAATCTTCCTTAAACTCGATCCTTGTCACCTCCTGTTATTAGAATCAGGCAGCAGTGCATTCAATGTTTCTTTCAAGGTGGCAAGGGATGTGCTACCATCTGAAAGCTTGAATTCAACAATAGGGTTGCATTTGCTGTAATACACTTTTGTCTTAATCAGAAACTGACAAAGAGACATTTTTTAAGATGTCTTTCTCTATAACACATGCCCCTATTTATACAAATGGCGATGCATTTTAGACCATACAAACATGTCGGTGCAATCAGAACCCGACAAAATCTCGACCATTAAAAAAACTTAAATAAATGAGTTATCGAAAATTTTAATATAACTCATATTTCTGGTACCGCCTAATAAATTTGAAATTGTACAAGGGTGTAACAGAAATTTTGCTTCTACCAAAAATTTCAAAACCTCTACTGAAAATATCGTCCAGAAATTGTTTATATCTCAACAAAAATAATTCTAGAATAATTAAAATTAGAGATACCATATTTAATTTGGGAAATGTCATGTTAAAGCCTCCAAACACACTCTCGGTGAACAACTAAGTAAAACCATATGGGGCAAACTATTTAACAATTGTTTAAAATACACCTAACTCGTATTATTTGTTTCCGGCAAATACAATTGTGGATTTGTTTAAATCGATTCCACATGATTAAATTTTCATTTGCTATTTTGTGAAAATCTAACTCTTACATTATATACAAACTATTAATAATACTAACAAGTATTTTAAAGGTATTGTTTAGAAAATTTAAAGAAATTTTTTATTAGAACTTGTGTTTTTATTACATTGAAAATAAATTAATTTAACTTTTTAATGATTAACTCACTTGTTTGAAAATCTTAAATAATATAATTAAAATACTTGTTATCGAGATTTTATTTTTCAAAACACATTAG